AAGTTGTGTAAGGGTGCCCCAATTGTAAACCTAAATATTGAAGATATGGGTGCAAAAAAAGGTTTTACGCATGTATTAACAAGAATATGTGAGGGAAATTTTTTTTAATTGAAAAAATTCGAGCAAGGGATGATTTTAAAAAAATTATCAACACAAGCAAAAAATTATCAACACAAGCAAAAAATTTTGTACGTAATTGGATGACAGTTGATATACATAAGCTACTTCTTAGAATATTTAGGGGTGCACGGAACCGAACTCTGTTCCGGCTGGAACCCTGATTTTTTAGAGTTCCGGTTCCGGCTGGAACTAGTAAAAAAAGCATGGCCGGAACCCGGAACTCTGTCATTTCAGAGAGATAGAATATCAAACGTTTTTGCGTCTAACAAAAGGTCACAGTAGGAAGAAATTTGGACTACGCAAAGGAAATGTACACTAACACTTCATTATGACGTTTAACGCTTGTCAATATTTTTATTCTAATATTTGCGAGCTCTCTCCTTTATGACTTGAAGTGTCTGCAGCGGACAAAGTAACATATGACTATTTATGGCTTAATAACTTAGTTCCGGCCGGAACTTTTTTCCAGTTCAGGTTGGATCCGGTTTCCGGCCGGAACTTAAAAAACTGGTTCTGGTGCACCCCTAAGAATATTTATATTAATTTGCAGGCAAATACAGGACTATCGGTACTGCATATAATGAAAATGAGTATTTTATCACTGTGATAATTCTCGGTTGAAGCCATGTAATTAAATACTTCTTATTACCTCCAATTTAGATTCTTGCTGGTCATGACAGTTGTATCCAAAAGTGGGGGCATGGATGCTGGTCGAGTTCTAAACCGGGGCCACCATGGGGATGCCCAAATGCACCAAACTAATTTCATATGTGGCATCTTTAATATAATTTCACTTTATTTTTGAGAAGAAATTTCACCAAAATTTTAACAGTGAAGCTTAGTGGTGGTTGTGGATACTTTTGGTATATTATGTACTTTAATGGTTATAATAAACATTTATGGATTACTAAGGATATTTATTACCATGAACATGTTCAGACATATGTACCTCTATCTCAACGGTTACCCACAGACATCGATGTACCTCGATAATGGAGCTGCACTATGGTTAAAGTGAGGTCTAACTTAAGGTACAGATTTTCATTGTTAGCCTGCTATTGGGCAGTAGTTAGCCTGCTATCAGGCCGTAGTTACCCTGTTATCAGGTAATGGTTATCCTGCTATCAGGCAGTACCTGTATTTCAGTATTGAATTTGTACCCATGACTCTGGTTTGCATGTAAAGTAAGTAAGCTTATTGCCTTAAAAGTAAGCTTATTGCCTTAACTTTTCATCCATTTTTAGCGACTTTTTCCATTTTTCATAAGTGGCCAAAACCAGAAAAAAAGTAAGGCTATAGCATTAACTTTTCATCCATTTTTAGCGACTTTCTCTATTTTTCATAAGTGGCCAAAAAACACCAAAAAAGTAAGGCTATAGCATTACTTTTCGTCCATTTTTAGCGCCTTTTTGCATTTTTCATAAATGGGCAAAAAACAGCAAAAAAGTAAGGCAATACATTTCTAGCGACTTTTTCCATTTTTAATAAGTGGGCAAAAAAACAGCAAAAAAGTAAGGCTATAGCATTAACTTTTCGGCCATTTTTAGCGCCTTTTTGCATTTTTTCATAAATGGCCAAAAAAAAACAAGCAAAAAGTAAGGCTATATATAGCATTAACTTTTCGTCCATTTTTAGCGACTTTTTCCATTTTTCATAAATAGGCAAAAACGAGAAAAAAGTAAGGCTATAGCATTAATATTTCGTCCATTTTTTGCAACTTTTTCCATTTTTCTTAAGTGGCCAAAAAACAGCAAAAAAGTAAGGCTATATATAGGCTTAATTAACTTTTCGTCCATTTTTAGCGGTTTTTTCTATATCTCATAAGTGGGAAAAAAACAGCAAAAAAGTAAGGCTATAGGCTTAACTTTTCGTCCATTTTTAGCGACTTTTTCCATTTTTCATAAATGGGAAAAAAAACAGCAAAAAAGTAAGGCTATATATAGCCTTAACTTTTCGTCCATTTTTACCAACTTTTCCCGTTTTTGATAAGTGGCCAAAAAGTAAGGCTATATATAGGCTTAACTTTTCGTCCATTTTTAGCGATTTTTTCTATATCTCATAAGTGG